TTGCTCTGTTTTCATTTCCTTTCCACATTTCTGTTGCCTATGCTGTTGGAGAAACTCATTATGTCCCAGACTTTGCTTGGAAGAGAGGACTTGTTTTGCTCTATCAACCACACTGTTATCTGGGGCACTGAGCAACCTAAGAATTTTCTGTGATTTGACACTGTTCTACAGCATATCACAGTTTGCATGAATAAGTGATAGGGGATTCCTTTTTGCTATTTTAGTGGGTAGAGTTAAAGATAACACTGATTTTGGTGTAAAATAATTTTAATATCTTCTATTTGGGGGTAGAATACTATTTATCTCTTAAGTGGAGAGGGCAAAAGAGGTAAAAAAATTAATCATTTCCTCTTACTGATACATTGCTAAGCTATTTCCTTAGAATGCTTTACCCTTTTTTTTTTTAAAAAGATTTTATTTATTTATTTGAGAGAGAGAGAGCGTATGAGTGGTGGGGAGGGGCAGATTGCTTTTCGTTCAGAAAGTCCATTTGGACTTCGAGCTAATCATTTTGCAAGCAGGATGTTTCTGCAATCTGCGAAAATTCTGTATTCATTACTTCTCTGTGCCTCAGAGACTACTGTAATTTGCCTTAGAACATGCACAACTTTTGTCATCTTCAAATCTAGTTTCTATTTGTTGGCTGTACAAGAGAAGCAGAACCGAATCATTTTAGTATTGGAAGGAAACTCATTTAATTCATTCCCCTTTGCAGTGCTGGAATTCGCTTCACAAGATGCTATTGCTCTGAATCTTCCCCCTGAGAGAGAAGCCGTAACTCTACCAAGGCTCAGTGGTTTTCTGATCAAACACACACAACTTTTCTCTTGGATTCAGTTGACCTTTTTTTGAAACTTGAGAACTTAAATTTGTTTAGTTATTTGATATGTAAAAATAACTCTGAACATTTAAATAACTCATATTAAGGAGTTTCCTTCACACATCAAAACGATTAAATTATTTAGGCACTTAGACCAATTTTGGTATTTACTTTGCCAACATTCTGTGTTAAAATTCATCAAAGCTCTGGGTTGGTAGCTATGGGAGGGAGAGGACACAGTTTGTCTTGCTAGCCTGCTCATCACTGACCTTCTGAGGTATCTTGATTCTGCTCATTAATTTTTAAAATCGAGAAGAAACACTTCATACAGCTGGGGCTTTTAATTTGCAAGGAACAGAAGTTGCCTCTGAATAACTTATACCAGAAAGAGGGAAATGAGGGAAAATCTGAGGAGCCAGGTCTGAGGAAGGCAGCATTCCGGGGACCCCAGTGACTCATCCTCAGGACTGTTCCTGCATAAAGCATCCTCTCCCGCTTTTGGCTACCTGTTCTCAGGGTGCCTGGACACAGTGGGTATCTTTTGGCAGTTTGGGGCTTCTTTTGTTTTCAGGCTTATTGGGAGTCCAGCTGCCTTCTTTGTTTTTCTCCCACAAATATATTGATTTAAGTCTCAGAGCTGGAAGTGGTTTCCTCTCCTCGTTCATGTTTTGGGTTTGTTGGGATGTTTCCCAGGGTGGGGAGTGATACTTACGTTTGCTGTCTTACTTGCACTGTCATTTTTTTTATGGGGAGAGTTAAAGAGATTGGAAAATTCTGTCAGAATTCTCTCCTGTTTGTTTTTCAGTCTACTGAATCTTGAGTTCCATTCCATTTTGTTATTTATTTGTAAACTTCCTCCTGTGTAATCTTGCAAGACATTTGTTGATGTTATCTGTCTTCTCTATTATGTCATTGTGTTCTATTTTGTTTTGTGGATTTGTCGTGTAACTTCCTGCTTTCCTTCATTTTCTGCTATTTTTACATTTAAATTCGTGATTTGCATATTTATTTCCTTGATTTTCAGTTTTTCTTTTTTTTTTAAGATTTACTTATTTATTTGAGAGAGAGAGGGGTGCGGGGAGGGGCAGAGGAAGAGAGAGAATCCCAAGCAGACTTCTCACTGAGTGCAGAGCCCCATGCAGAGCCTGATCCCACAACCCTGAGATCATGTCTCGAGTCGAAATCAGGAGTCGGATGCTTAACTGACTGAGCCACTCAGGCGCCCCTCAGTTTTTCTTTTGAATGTAAACATTTGAAGTTATAAATGTTCCTGTAAGTATGATGTTTGCTTTATCTCACAAGTTTTTATATTTTTTTGTTATTTAATCTTGTATTTTCAGGACACCTGTCTGGCTCAGTTAGTAGAGCGTGTGACTCTTGATCTCAGGGCTGTGAGTTTGTTCCCCACAATGTGTGTGGAGCCTACTTAATAAATATATATATCTTTTCTAATTTTATGATCATTCTTCTTTGATCCTTGAATTCCATAAAAGCATGCTCATGCATATATTTCCCTGGGTTTCTTTTTGTTACTGATTTCTAATTTAATTCCTTTTTGATTGGAGAAAATGATCTACATGGTATTGATTCTTGGGATTTTTGAAATTTGCTCTGTGGTCTACTTGCTGGGCATGTTTTGTAAATGATCAGTGGGTGCTTAAAAGGACTTTTTGAATATACTTCATATAACAGGTGTAAGGGTCTGTGTATTGAGTGAGATCAAGTAAGTTATTCAGCTCCTTATTCTTTATCTGCTTGGTCTGTGAATTCCTGAAAAAGACTTTATATCTTTCTATAGGTATAACTAATACTTACATGGTACTTACTATATTCCAGGCACTATTTTAAGGGCCTTAACATGTATTAACTTACTGTGTTGGTCATTTTTCCCTCACATCTGTTACTTGTTCTTATATTTTGAGACTGGGTATATTTGTCACTAGGTTCCTACACCTGGGAATCAGAGTCTCTTATCATTGAGTATTGACTTTATTCATCTCTAACAAGATTTTTAACTGTAAAGTCCTTTTCCCCCCCTGAAATTGATGTAGTTACACAGGCTTTTTCTTAGGTTAATATTTGCCTGGCATATCGTTTTCATCCTCTTTTGTATGTCCTTTTGTTTGAAGTGTGTCTCATAAATAGCCTATGGGTGGATTTCTTTTTGAAATGGTTTATTTATTTTGGAGAGAGAGAGAGAGCATGAGTGGGAGGGGCAGATGGAGAGAGAATCTCAAGTAGACTCTGTGCTGAGTGCGGAGTCTGACCTGGCACTTGATCTCACGACCCTGAGATCACAACCTGAGCCAAAGCCAAGAGTCGTTCGTTTAACCAACTTTGCTGCCTAGGCGCCCCGTGGTGGATTTTGTTTGTATCCAGTTTTATCCAAGAGCGGTAATATGGTTGATGGTCAAAGCCAAGAACTTGAAGGCCGGATTACTTGGTTTGCATTGTTTCCTGGGGTGTTGGTATGTGGCAGCTACAATTCTATACTTGGTGAAGGGAGGCATTTTGGCTCCCAAAATCTAAGTAGATTTTAACCTCTCCCTGTGTTTTATGTTCATGTCTGACCCTCGCTGTCCCAGAAGTGAAGTACCTGGTATGTTTAGGTTCCTATTCTCTTTAGGATTCTTGCTTACCCTTTCAGTATCCCTGCCACCTGTCCTTTATGGTGTTTGCACTGCTCTTTACTTTTTATCTCTTGAAAATGAATTAAAGTATCTGTAAAGTTGTCATAATAAGAATGCTTACTTATAGGACTGTTTGAAAGTAAGTGTAAGGGCGCCTGGGTGGCTCAGTTGGTTAAGCGACTGCCTTCGGCTCAGGTCATGATCCTGGAGTCCCGGGATCGAGTCCCGCATCGGGCTCCCTGCTCAGCGGGGAGTCTGCTTCTCCCTCTGACCCTCTTCCCTCTCGTGCTCTCTCTCTCTCATTCTCTCTCTCTCAAATAAATAAATAAAATCTTAAAAAAAAAAAAGTAAGTGTAAGTCATACATGTAAAAATCTATGAAGAGTACCTGGTGCATTTGAAGTGCTTAGAAGGATTTGTTCTTGTTTTGTTACTAATAGTAATATTACAGTTTGACTTTTAATGCTCTTGGGTACCCTCTATTTATCCACAGTCCTTCCTGCCTTGTGTTTGTCACTATTAATTTTATCATCACATTTATTCTTTTTATTTTATAATTCAACTTTTTCATTTTTGCTTTTTTGTTACACAGGTGATTCAGGGGGATGTAATTTTAGAGCATCTCAATTCAGCATGTCTAAAGTCATAACTGGATTTAATGGAATTTTAAAATCATTTTCCAGAAGGAGTATATTCATAATTAAACTATATGATAAGTTAAGACTTATACAATTTTTATATCTGAGGAGTATAGAATACTTCAACTAGTTGATGGGACTGGATTCTGTATTTCATATGGAGAGTTAAAACCTCTATGGAGTAAAATTTTTGCTCTCAATGGGAATCTCTGATTTTAATTTTTTTTTTATTAGAATGAACATTAGTGGTCATAATGTGCAGAACAAAGTGAATGTACTTAATGCCATTTGCTAAAAAACAAAATTCAACTGAGTAAAGTTTAAAGATCTTATTGGCTTTATTCAGTGGTTCATGATTTGGGCAGCATCCAATGTAGGAGATAGAAAGTGGCCCTGAGATGCTGTACAAAATGAAAGACTTCTCTAGGCAGAGAGAGAGCAGCAACAAGAAAATGATACTACGTGAAAAAGTGGGTTACTTTCCTTAGGGGAGAGCGGGGGTCAACCAAGCAGATTACCTAACTAGTAACCCTGATTGACTGGTTTAAGATTTCATTTTTGGGAGAGCCAAAACTGTAGTTAAGTCTCAAACATGATATGGGGCTTAGGAAAAGCGACTCCATTTTGGGCCTTGACTTTTTAACACACTGAAGTATATACTTAAAAATGTTTAAAGTGGTAAATATTATGTTATATATATTTCACCACAATTAAAAAAAGGGACCATTAGCTGTTCATGCCCATGTCTCACATGAAAGAAGATGTTCATCAACGTGAAAATCTAATTCTTACAGGAGCAGACATTGGGGTGAGCAGAACATATTGGCATCAGTATGTTGATTTATGTTTCTTTCTTCAAATATATATGGTTCTCACTCATTTCCTAATGTGAATTTTTTTTTTTTTTAAACAGGAAGGAAAAGCTGATGCGGTGTTCTCAATGCCGAGTTGCAAAATACTGTAGTGCTAAGTGTCAGGTAAGAATGTTCAGCTACAGGGGCGCCTGGGTGGCTCAATTGGCTCAGCTCAGGGTCTTGAGATTGAGCTCCTCATTGAACTCCCAGCTCAGTGTGAGTCTGCTTGTCCTTCTCTCTCTGCCCTCCCTCCACATGCTCTCTCTCATTCTCTCTTTCTCTCTCTGAAATAAATGAATAAATAAAAAGAATGTTCAGCTCTATGTAAGTGAAACCTTCAAGTTCTCTGCTCTTAATTTGTGCTCCATTATGCCCATTGGCCTGTTTGGTTTTTTTTTTTTTATAATCTTTGATTTATTTTAACTTATTTTCCTTTAATTTAAAAATTAATGTGTATGGTAAAATATCATTTATATGATATCTATATATATAAACTAAATATGTAATATCCATATATCATGAAAAAAATGTTCACTCCTATCTTCTTGTCCTCCTGACCTCAGTCCCATTGTCCAGAGATACCTAGTTTCTTATGTCTTTGCAACATTTTCTACTCCTAACACATTCGAATATTTACTCTCTTTATTAGAAAAACAGAAATGGGTTAATTTTATATACCTGAATTCTCCTTTTCATTTTATAACCTGTCCAGAGGACCCTTTGGTCTCATCCCACTGTTTCCATTACATGAATGCACCACAGTTGTTACTTCTTCTTTAATGAATGCTTAACTTTTTTTTCAATATTTGGTATTGCCAGTTATGGACCAAGTATCTTTTTGTACACATTTCTGCACACTTCACAAATTAGTTGTAGGGTAAATTCTTCCCAGCTGTATCGATGAGTAAAAGGATACATGATTTTGAATTTTTAAAGATAGTGCCAAATTGTGTTCCAAGAGTTTAATTTAGGACAACTGACAGAGAGTCTGTGAGAGTACCATTGTTAATGTCTTTGAAATTCTTTAAAGGGTGTATAATTAACATTCCAACATAACCTTTTCTTCTAACCTTATGATTAATCATTTCATAAGAAATGTAATTATGCTGTAATGAATTGCATCATAATAAAATAATTGGAGGTTTTGTGTCTGTGTCACTTGCTCTCAACCTTCCACCCATCATTTTTGTTTCTTATTTTTGTGTGTGTGTGTGTGTGCGTGCGCGTGCGTGCACGCGCATGCACGCACACACGTGGACACCTAGTGTTCCTCTTTTGGCATCTAGGCCATGCTTATCTGAGGGAGTTTCGCTCTCTCACTTTCTCCTATGAAAGTAATTTCTCCAGACTGCAAATAGAGTGATCTTAACAGAGAAGAAACCTAAGCAAACAAGCATACAAATTAATCAGACGACCCAAGTTCTAATGACCGTTGTGCCATTAGCTCGTTAAATTGTTCTGAAGAAAGCATGGTAACTCTCTGGGCCTCAGCTTCCTAATCTGTACTACTAAGAAGAACTAAGATTTACAAGATCTCTCCTGTGTGCCAGGTACTGTTTTATTCTGTTTACTCCTATATGAATCTTGGGAGATTACTACCATTGTGCTTGTTTTGCCAGTCAGGGGGCTGAGCTACAGAATCTTAAGTAACCTGCCAAACATCCTATACCTAATAGGTGCTGGAATTTGGATCCAGAGTTCTAATTTCTCTTCTAAGCCCAAATTTTATTTTTGTTCTAACATTCTGATTAGGTGTAGCTTTCTTTTTCCTGTGGTATTCACATTTTTTCCTGGCTTTTGTTTTGTTTTTAATAAGGGTGTAACCCAATCCCCAAGGAACACAAAACAAAAAATACTAAAATAGAAGGTTTGAAGTAACACTTTTCCTAATAAAAATAGGGAATGTGAGAAATAATTGGATTATTTTTGCCTCATTTTGTAAAGCAAAAATTCTGTAACAGAATGATACAAGATTTATATAAGATCATTAGTAATAATAATAAGAAAAAGCAAAATATGAAAACAAAGCCATCCTTTTTTCTACAAGATAAATTCTAGATAGACTATTTTATGGTGATGTTATCTATCTTATTCATGTGAAACTGAGATTTGTTTCAAGGAACTTCAAATTAAGAAGACTATATATAGAACCGACAAATTACATACATCTTCTGGATGAACTTTCTTTCCAGTTTCAATACCTAAAAATTTACTTTTATTTTCTCCAGTTTTTGTGTTTTTTCTCTAATGCTACTTCCTCCTTTTGTAGTACACTCAAGGAAGAAAAAACATGATCTGATTAGAATGTGTTGAGGGAGTTTGGTGGTGGGTGTGTCATTTTGATTCATTGTCGTGCATGTACTCTGACCACATATATTAACTGCTTACTGTAGCATCAATAATAATGTCATCGTCAGATATACTGTAGAAAGTAATGGGACAATAGCTAGTAAGTTGGAAGGTACCATATATAAGCCAACTAGTGCATATGCTTGTATGTGTGAGGGGGATGGGGTGTGTGTAGAGGCGGGATGGGAGTCAAAGATTGGCCAGAACATATACATTTAAACTGCCCTGTTTAGCTCACCCTTCAGGTACATAATTAAACATTGTAATTATTGTGGATTCCTACAAAGCAGCACAAAATTAAACTGACAAACTGAACTATGAACAGTAATGAACAGGAGGCAAACACCCTCGGAATGGAAATTGATATAGAGGATGTGAATTTGTAGCATAAAATCTATAATATATTTGCCCTGGAGGGACATAACTTTGGTTCATTAGCTTAGCATTTGATGTGTGGGGCCATGGCATCAACGAGTCATGTGAGGGAGGCTATTGAGGTATTATGAGGCATAATATCCCTCACGCCCATAAGGGTGGTTTCAGTGTTAACTGGCTTTCACATTTCATTTTCAAACAGAAAAGTAAAGTAAGAAGAGTGAATGTTTCCTCCAGCTTCCTTCCCCATTCCTACTTCTGTTTTCCGGAGGTAATGTCTTTGTGTTTGTTTTGTGACTGGAGGATACACACAAAACTGTTCATCTACACTTCATACCTAGTGTTCACATATATGTATATATTGACTGCTATGTTCACTATTGTTTCTTATACTGGAGAGTGTTTGTCATCAGTGGCTTTGTAATTCCTCTGTGGATACCTTATTATGATGTGTCATATAATGCGATAGAGGGCTTATATATGGCAACCAGTGTGATTTCTATATAACCAGAGCATCATAGGTGATTTTGAAATGAAAGAGGAGGAGTGGGCTAAGTTTTCTTTTAAAAATGCATGCTCAGGGGCACCTGGGTGGCTCAGTCAGTTGAGCGTTTGCCTTTGGCTAAGGTCATGATCGCCGGGTCCTGGAATTGAGTCCCACATCAGGCTCCCTGTTCAGCAGGGAGCCTCCTTCTCCCTCTGCCCCTCCTCCTCGCTCATGCTTACATGTGCACATGCCCTCTCTCTCTCTCTGAAAGAAATAAAATCTTAAAAAAAACACGCTCAAAATTTGCAATGTTGCTAACAAGTAAACCAATTTCAAGCAAATTCACCAATTATTATTTTACTTCTTCTGGATTTAACTTGATTCATAATATCTACATTTCTGATTGAATTAATTGCTGAGCAAAATAAGCAGCTGCATACTGTACTAAATTACAATTTATATACTTTTAAAAAGTATTAGCAGGGAGAGGGCCTGTTTTATTTAATAATTACAGACCTCTTTAAAAATGTGAGTCTTGGGTGCCTGGGTGGCTCAGTCGTTAAGCGTCTGCCTTCAGCTCAGGTCATGATTTCAGGGTCCTGGGATTGAGCCCCGCATCGGGCTCTCTGCTCAGAGGGAAGCCTGCTTGTGTACCCTCTCTCTGGCTGTGTCTCTCTCTGTCAAATAAATAAATAAAATCTTTAAAAAACAAAAATAAAAATGTGAGTCTTATTTGTCGGTTTACATTTTATGTTTAGTTATAGAATGATCTGATTTATTTGTGATGAATCTCATATTAGTCAGCACTAACAGTGCGATTTAATAAGTTGGGGTCTAGAGTATAACACTCAATAATGGTAATAATGGAGAAAACCAAGCCCTTTGTTTGTTGCATAAATAGTTCTGTGCCAGCTTCAGACTGATAGGACATTAAATGAGTGTTCTGTAGGGAAGTTGGCTTCATATCTAATTGTAAATAAAAAGAGAATACCGTGTAAAGGTTGAAATTATTTGATCATATTTAAGTTTTTGACTTCTACCAACATCTGGGGCCCTAAGCTTGTCTTTGCTCACTTTGCATTCACCGGCTGAATGCTCCCATCTGCTCCCATGACTTCAGTTGGCATCTGTACATTAATCATTCTTGAGACTCCATCTCCAGCCTTCTCCTTTCTCCCAAAGACCAGACCCATACCTTATGGGGTACCTCTACTTTGGTGGTGCACCCATATCTCAAGTGCCATATAGCAGGTCCTCAGTGCATGATCTTTGCCCAAACCTGCTTTTGTTCTCGATTTTCAGCCGCAGTGAATAATCCACCAACCACCCAGCAGTCTGAGTTGCCAGGCTGGAATCATCTTCAGTTGATGTCCTTTCTTGGCCCCACGCCCAGTTAATCAACATGTCCCGCTGATTTTACTACTTAAGATCTAAATTGGTTCGCTTCTCTAGTTTCTCCACCAGCTCTTGTGTGCGTGTGCCTCTGACCTCTCTGCTATGCTGACTGCAGTCTGTGCCTCCTGCCCTCTCCTTTCCTCCTTCCTACATGGGAGCCAGAGCGATCGTTTCGTTCTAGAGTGTGATCATGGCTGTCACTCGCCAGCGGAAAGCCCTGGCCCTGTTCCTCAGGATGAAATTCAAGCTTGTGGATTTTGCTACGCTTTTACTTCTGAGCCTTTGACTATGTGACTCCTTGGGCTTGGACCCAGACCTGACCCCCTACCTACTGAACTCCTTCTACTTATCCTCTATAACCCAGATTAAATGTCACTCCCTCCTTTCCTAAACTCCTGAGACTAGTTTGTGTCCATCCTTTTTCACACAGAAATTATCTTAATTACTGGTTTAATTGGCTGTTTCTGCAGTTAGATAGCCAGGCTCATTCAGGGGGTACATTATTGTTCCCTGATGA